TCTGCATAGTGTTTTTTTAATGATAACTCTGTTAACATTATACAGTAGTAATCAGATTAGAAGAGAGTAGATATATTTGACAGTATTAGTTCACAGCTGTGGTCCATAAACGTATTAACCCACTGACATGCACTGACACTGCCAAACTGAGGCTGACGATGTACGATGCAATAGCTTCACATACTGAGTGCACAAGGATGGTGTACAGGTTATTACTTCTCCAACTGTGAAGCTCAACATAGGTTAATTAACAACATTAATACAATTGTTATTATCATTAATAAAATTAGTCACATGCACAATATCAATAAAATGTCAGAAAAAATAGTAATAAAATGTAAAAAAATAATAAAAAAAAAAACATTGGTAAAATGTTTGCTTAATATTAATAAAATGTCCAAAAAAATGTCCGGAAAAAAAAGTTGATAAAATGTCTAAAATATATTAATAAAATGTCAGAAAAAATAGTACTAAAAACAAAAACAAAAAAAAAGGAAAAATGTTTGCTAAATATTAATAAAATGTCCAAAAAGATTTTAATAAAATGTCAGAAAAAATACTAATAAAATGTAAAAAAAAAAAAAAGATGTTGAAAAAATGTCCGAAAAATATTAATAAAATATTCAAAAAATGTTGATAAATTGTCCGAAAACTACTATCAAAATGTCAGAAAAAAGTAATAAAATGTCTGAAAACATGTCATAAAAATATTATTAAAATGTCTTAAAAAATAGTAATAACACATCAAAAAAAAAAAAACTTGATAAAATGTCCATGAAATACTTATCGATAATAATAATAATAATAATAAAATGACCAAAGAGATGTTAATAAAATGTCTGAAAAAAAAGTTGATAAAATGTCTACAAAATATTAATAAATTATCCGGGAAAAAAAATTATATTGTCTGAAAATAACCTAGAGTTTTGTGGGCACTAAATACTGCGGTGTGTGTGTGTGTGTGTGTGTGTGTGTGTGTGCTAGCTGCTAGGTGTCTCACCTGGCAGCTGTAACTCCGCCTCTGTTTCCTTCCATGCTTCGTTCTTATTTTATTTATTTAACTTATTTAACAGGGACAGTGCACAGCTACTCCGCCGCACCAGAGGTAGCTATAAGTTAATGTTCATCTGTCGTCCCTGGGCAGGAAACAGACAATAACTTCTCTGCTTGCTTCTTTACACGATCATGGTCAGAGCTGGAGGACACATCACAAGGCTTCACAAGGTTTTCCTCTTTGCTGGAATCCCACACATTTCTTTTAGCACTTCAGCTTTGCCTCCATGGCGAGCTGCTATCTGCTGCTGGGTTTAATGTTTCCTGTCTTACATATCTCATCTTAACTTGTTCCTCATGCTTATTTCTTTCCTTGGTTCTGGCTCTGATTATTTCTGCCTCTCTTTGGACAGGTATCCTCCCATGCTGCATCATCGCCTCTGCAAAGAACACACTCCTCTTCTTTCACACAGCTTCCTTCTCATTCATTCTCTCCACATTTACCACGTCTCAGAGTCCCTCCTACACACAAACAAACTCTGACCAAACTTCCAACAGCTCTTACACTGATGTGTTTTGGGGACAAACTGCCTGACAGGATATGATACATGATCCAAACACACTGTATCTGCTAAGTACTCCAAATCAAAGTGAAGCATGACGGACTTAGTCTCAAACTTTTCCTGAGTCTCCCTGTCAAATTCCTTCATCCTGAAAGTGTCTGTTGCACCTTTACATTCTGTAACTCTCCCATCCTCCACTCTGTGAGAGGCTCCGTCAACAGCACCTCTGATTAGGGCTTTCTTGTTCAGGTGGAAACATGACACTGGATACACATCCATCCACCACCCAAAAGCTTTAACATTCAGTGCCGTTACCATCTGTTTCTTTGGCACAAACTCCACTTCTATGCAGTGCTGTGTTCGGTCTGAACGCCTGGCAGCACAGTCTGAGGGCTCTGTGTGTGTCTCTGCCTCGGTGGCGTATTAGATCATTTTTGAAGGGGACGCTCCAACAGAGAGACAGCTCAGTGAGGTCAACGAGACAGAGTTAATTCATTATGTTTCCTTGTCTCTCTGCTTATAGAGGTACATTTGAGTAAAAAGCAATTACAGTGCAAATTGTTTGTTTTTTTTCCCCACTGGGAACAAAATGCATCACAGGAGACGTCTTCAGCAGAATGTGAGGCTGCATTAGAGGAGCTGGTACACACAGTATTTTATTTCAGCTGCATGAGAACACTTGTGTTATCTCACAGGACTAATTATCATTCACTTATCAGCTCAAGTGTAATCACATCGACCTGCAGAAACACTTTATGTTTCTTTACTTCTTCAGACCAGATTCATTCAGTCACGTTTAACTTCTAAACTTTGATCCAAATATTCATCAATATATCAAAGTCCTTCCCAATGCCAATTTATTACCAGTCCCTCTGGCAGTGAATTAAAACGCCCCTCTCCACATTCATCAGCTCTCATATCGATCATTGCTCATCACGACTGATTGACAATTAACGGGCAGCAGAAGCAGAGCTACAACGTGAACATTATTAAAGTAAACAAAGGTTCAGGGAGAGAGCAGCAGTGTCACAGCTGAGGATATTGATTTACTGTTTGAAAAAAGACAGTCTGAGAGCAAAGTGTTAAAAGGTGCTTCATCCTCTCGTGAAGCTGTCAAACTCATCCAGCCTTGAATCTCCATCAGTTTTACAATTAAAGCTTTGAATGCTTCGTGTGTCGTATTGATTTGTTGCCTCCATTGTTGTCGTGGTGTCGCCGGCGTCACTTCAGCCTCAGACTCTGTTTCCTCCTCCCTACATGTGTGTCTGCTCCGCTCTTTCACATACCTGAGCCTCGTCACTTGAACCACCTAAAGTTTTAACTTGATCTGTCTCTGTGCCAAATGTTCCCCAAACTGAGGGGTTCATTTTGGAACTTTGCATCAAGTCTGTCAGGTTGTGTCCTTACCAACATGTTTGTACTACTGCGTTCATGTTAGTCATAACACAGCACATGTGCACTTCAGTTACGCTTCACTTTCATCAACTTCCTTTAACGTTTGACAGCAATATATAGATGTATAATAATACCTACACCTGATCCCAAGGTGGCTCCTTTTCGTTCCAACAGAGTTGCTCACCTAGCGCACACGCCAAAAAATTGTTTCTAGCTGCCAGGTTTGTGGCCAACTGAATAGTAGTGTTTCTCTGACTGGCTCCGCCCACAAGTTCTCACTCAGCTTATCGACTTCACATGGTGATAATGTCATGGATAAATAAATCGCTCTTCTTGGCTCCAGGAAAGTTTTAAAAATATAAATAGATCAAAAACAATAGAAAGAGTCATGACTGAGCTTGTTTGCAGGTGGAGGTGTCCTGTCAGCAGTTTTACTCAAGTCTCTTTTACACTGCTAAAAAACCGAAGGGAACACTTAATGGTCACAGTCTAACAGGAAGTCAGTTAAACGTCAGGGAGATCAGTCATGTGTTGTGAATCAGTTTCAGCTGCTGTGGTGCAAATCAAAGTGACAACAGGTGCAATGGAGAAACAAACAGGCTGCTCTCACAAATGTTTTGTATGTTTTCTTACAAAAAGCACTGATACCCAAATTCATAAATATGCCATGTATTTTGAAAGGTTGTGATCACGTGACCAATGTGCTGACGGCAGTAAACAAGGAAGCAGTGCTGAGCACCATTTGTCAGGAGGCAGGTTGGGGTGGCGGATGGGTCACAAAAAGGACTTTGGCCCAGGACTTTCCCCTGGAGTCACGTGTTCAGATCTGCGTGAACTTTGAGTGAACTCAGTCATCTTTAAGTCCTCATCATGTTTCTTTTCCTAACTTACTTTACGTTAACTGTGTAACTGTGTGTTAAGGACGTGATGTGATTCATGGGGCGCACATTTGTAGGATATCCTATGAACTGTTTTATGCGAACATGTAATTTTAGCTCCATGTAACGTGAATAAATCTAATGTATCCCAGGTAAAGTTAATGCTCTTCTGCCTTAACGACATCCATCCATCCATTTTCAATCGCTTATCTGGGGCGGGGCTCAGGGGCAGCAGGCTGAGCAAAGCATTCAAGACGTCCCTCTCCCCTTTGACGCCCTCCAGCTCCACCCGGGGATCCCAAGACGTTCCCAGACCAGATGAGATATATCATCCCTCCAGTCTGTTCTGTGTCTGGGGCCTACCAGACCTGATCAGAAAAGATTAGAAAAGGCAGTTGGACATGCCAAGAGCACCTCTAACAGGAGGCGCCCAGGAGGATCCTGATCAGATGTTGAACCACCTCAACATGAAGGAGCAGCGGCTCTACTCCGAGCTCCCTCCAGATGTCTGACTCCTCCCCCTATCTCTAAGGCTGAGCCCAGACACCCTACAGAGGAAACTCATTTCAGACGCTTGTATCTGTGACCTCATTCTTTCAGTCACTACCCAGAGCTCATGACCATAACCTGCTGATGTATTAAACTAAATGAATAATGTACAATACTAGTCTGGGGCTGAAGGTTCGGTCAAAGTTTTGTAGAGATTTTAAAGACAGACTGACTGTATATACTCTCTAACAATCACTCAGAGTGTCCAGTTGGTTTTCCCTGTCCAGAAAATGTGTCCTGGTTTGTCCTCTTCTTCAGTCACCATAAATTCAGCTATTGTCTTTTGATCCACAGATTATTTCACTTTTAAGAGACAGGTGTCGGTCCCTTAAAATGTTCTGACGGTAAAAGGTTACTGAGGATCTTCTCACAAAGCATAAGGGAACACTAACAGCATCATCTGAAGGAAATCGTTATGGTAACTTTATGCAACTGTTTTTATCTGAGGCATCCTTGGATAAGAATTTAAGGGAAACCTTCGTCTAAGTAGTTTTATGCAACCAGGCACTGCTCCTCAACCCTCTGAGCCTGTCTGTCTGTCATTTGGACCTTCGTTCATGTTGGAGCCTGAACTTTGACGCTCACAGTGCGTATCAGTCAAAACAGCGTCTGCATCACTCACCTGTCCAACCTGCAAGACAGCGACAGAAGCCCGTCACTGGATCACAGCCGTTGGCGTTGACACAGTCACATCTCTCTCTGCAGTCCAGCCCGTACCATCCCTCCTAACAACACACAACATTACATCAGTGCACTTCAACACAAACTGTCTTTAAATGACACAACTATAAACAGACAGAAGTAGTATTTATTAACGTAGATTAATCCAAACTCATTTCTAAACCCTTTATGCTGCATCTTTTTATTCAAGTCATAAGACCCAGTGAGGGCTGTGAGCACTTACAGCACACGGTACGTCGCAGTACTCGTCCCTCCAGCCTGGAGAGCAGGTGCAGGTACCGTTGACGGGGTCGCAGGCCGCCCCGTTGGCGCACTGACACGTCTGATTGCAGCCCAGTCCCCAAGCACCACTGGAGCATGGGATGGAGCAGTCCACACCCTGCCAGCCTGGACACAGACACAGACACGCAGCGAAGAACCATCATTCCACCGCTCTTTTTTTAAGATTATTTTTTTGGGCTTTTTGCCTTTAATGAACAGGACAGAGTGAAATGGGGTGAGAGAGAGAGAGCAGGGGGGGTGACACGCAGCAAATGGTTGCAAGCTGGAATTGAACCTGCGACCGCTGCAGCGAGGTATCGCCTCTGTACATGGGGCGCCGGCACTATCCACTACGCTACCGACACCCCAATTCCACCGCTCTTCATTAGAGTCTGTTGTATTTCATATGCACCTGTGAAGCATCTGGTAACTCTGGTTTTTCATCATTTTCCCATCAGTTATTATAAAGCACTTCACAAAGCACTGACTGAGATCAGGAAACACAGTGACAGTACCACATATAAATCGTAAGAGCTGTTCATGAAGAGTCAAAGCCTTCGACAGGCTGTAAACTAGTTGTAAACCATGTTTTTGAGCGAAAACTGAAAGTGTATATACGTGAAATGTTTTCAATAATCCCTGTTTCTATTTGCAAAGGTAATCTGTGTACAAACAGCTCAGAAGAAAATGTTGGCATCGTATGTTTATAATACGTTGTATATTGCATACATATCATGTGAATGTTTCTAAAGTTTCGAAGTATCTGAGCTGTTTAACACAGACAAACAACAAAACCAGCTGTGATCTGGTGAGTCATCGCTGTGCTTCCTGCAGCTTTTAGCCACCAAACGAGGGTGTTTGTCAGAGACATGTTGATATTTTTCCTGCCAGGATTGTGCCCTCAAAACCAGGTATTTTAAGGCAAACATCTTTTCCTCACCATAACCAAGTGTTTTTGTGCCTAAACACAGACACATGTTGAAACATGAAAAATCAAAATATCAGCAACATAATAATGTACAAACATAACATATCTGTGTTTTGCAGAAATGTACAATGCCAACATTTTTTTGGCGATTGGGTCGACACACAACTGCAACAAGTCAGTCTGTGGCCTGGGACTGTTTGAGTGATAATCATACTGTTCACCTTTTTGTCTTCTCTGCATAAATTTGTTAAACTGGAGGTTTGTTTAAAACCTGTTCGTCTAGTTGGTCATGTTTCTGGACCAGTTTGACTTGTGCATAGTGGTATTTAAATCATACACCCAGCCTGTTCACTACATTCTGATACTGCAAGGCCCACCGTCATGAGGGGGTCAAAGGGTACAGATGATCCCGGTCCAAGGCCAAGAGATCATCTTTATATACAATTAAAACACATTTCAACGTGACATCTGATGCTACAGCTCCCTGCAGGTATTGTGAAATGGTGCAGATATACACCAAACATGATACAAACATGAGGCTGATTGCAGTCTGATCAGTTAAGCCAAAGTGCTTCACCCAAAATTAGGAGCTCCTAAAAGAAATGCCTGGCTACAGAGAGAACAAGAAAATAAAAGGAGCAGAGAGGTGACGGACACATGTCTGACAAAAACAATGTTAAAAAGCATCAGGCATGATGGGCAGAGCTGCAGGTGAGAAGTGAGGCAGAGTAGTTTGAGCAAATAAAACCTGCTGTATTGGCTCAGCTTTGAAGCTACAGTGATGACACAGGTGTCAGATTAAACTGGAGGACATAAGGCATCCATTGGTGCCAAACATGTTATGCTATCTTGTTGGAAAGAGGGCCAAATAACGCTCCAACGTTACACTAAATTTTGATGAGGGAAAAAGACACATTGCCATTCTTTAAAATATTTTTTGGGGGCATTTACAGCTTAAGATGGACGGAGGGCTAGGAGAGAGGGAGGGGATGACATGCAGCAAAGGGCCTCCACTTATACGGGCGCACAAAACATCGCCATTTTTCAAAATTATTTCTGCACACTGGGTTTATAAACAGTCTTGTGAAACATAAATTGGGTTTAACTGGAAAACTGAGAGTTGACAGCTGTATACTCTTCACACTGTTTCAGCTCTGCACATAATTTGACCGATATTTGATTAAAGTAATATTTCTTCAGTCAATGTTTGACTTAACTTTTCTCTTCTCATTCATTGGAGGACAATTTCCCTTTTTATTGACAGTACAGCTTAAGATGGGCAGGAAAGGTGGGAGATAGAGGGGGGTGACACGCAGCAAGGGGCCACAGGTCAGAGTTGAACCTGGGTCACTGCAGAGGCCTCAGCGTATATAGGTGACAAACATATCCATGTTCCAAAAATTATTTCTGCACACTGGAGTCTTAGATTACATGAATTGTGTTTGACTGGAAAACTGAGAGCTGATCACCAGATACTTTTTACACAATTTCAGATCTGCTCACTATTTGACCAATATTTCACTAAAGTAGTATTTTTTTAGTCCTGATTTGAACTGATGATTTAAAACTTTCCAGTAATTTCTTCAGTCAATTCAGTAATCACTGGACAATGTTGTCCCCCAGCCCATATCTCTGCTCCCTCACTATGATGGGGGCTCAACAGAGTCATGACTCTTTGCTGTCGTGGCTCCACAGCGGTGGAACGAGCTCCCCTTTGACATCAAGACAGCAGACACACATCCTGCTGACTGACTGAAACTCATCACGTCATTCTGCACCGCGGCCCAAAAATAAAACCAACTCTGTATCTGTTTTTGTTTCTAAATGTTGAACTTGAAGCACTTCAGCAGATTTTATTCTGGCCATTTGCTGTTGAATGTTCTTGATATGAGTCACTCTGGATAAAAATGTCAGCTAATTAAATGTAATGTAAAATTCTCACATCTCAGCAGTTCACTTGGTTCATACATTGTTATAAATGTCAATCAGACTGAAACTATGAACATTTGACTCAAGTTGCAGAAAACTCAAATTATCCTTAAAGAAAACTTCAGTTCCTGTACATACACAGGCGCTCTGAGCATGCTCCACAGTTTCCGCCCCGGGCTTTGACCCGGAAGTCCAATAGCATTAAATGTGTAAGAGAAGAAGAAGCCAGTAACAACATGGAGAAATCTACATCCAGAGCCGTGACTTTTTGGACGGACCAAATGTACAGAGCTGTAAAGTTGTCCACCATGGTAGCAGTTAGCTGCTAGCTAACCGTAGCTAACTTGTTTGTCCATTGTTTGGTCTGTGACGTAATAGGTCAACAGGAAAAAGGTCCAATACTAACAAGCTGAAAGGGGGCATATCTCCACCTATCGTAGAGGAGTCGCACATACTTGGCTCAATAAATTGATTCTCCTCTCATGCTTGTATACTGGGACAAGGACAGTAGGCCAGTTAGATGTCCTCGTCCAGCTGGGACTGTGGCTCCACTTCACTGTGCACGAGTGTCTGTTTCTCTGACTGCTCTGGTGCCTCCCAGCCTACACGCCTGCCGTCAATCAGCTCATCTCCTCTCTGTCTCTGTCTCCCTGCTCTTCCAAAATACCTGCCTGCTATCAGCTCATCACCGCTCCAGTATATCAGCCCCGGCTCTTCTCCGTCTCCATGTCAGATTGTTGACTCAGCTACAGTGCTAGTCTAAATCTCAGGCCTCTCCCGAGTTCATTCAGTGACCTTACTGGTGTTTTTCCTTGCCTGACGTTAACTGTTTCCCCCCGAGTCCCCGAATCATCTGCCTGTTTGCCAGCTAACCCCTGGAGCCTCCTCAGCCTGCCCACGCCACTCACCCTTGTCATGTCTGTCTTCACCATCACCCCTCTGCCCTCTGCCTCAGCCAGCCATCATCTTCTCTCCACTCCACCTCCTTTCTCTGGGGTCTCACAATAAATCTTTTACCGACTTCTGAGTCAGTGTCCTGCGTTTGGGTCCAGCGGACTACATCACAACAGGCCGGGGGTGTTTGTTGCATATCAATCCCAGTTCTTTCCTTTTATTTCCTGTCATCTCTGAACTGTGTGCTGTCTAATAAAGGATTTAAAATGTAAATAAGACTTAGGGTATGTTATTGTTGGAGGTGTTGAACTACAAATCTTTTTAAACACCTGTCCTGTACAGCATCTATCTCAATGATCACTGGCCTTTATCCTGAAGAAGGCAACACGCACCGAAACACTGATCCTTAGAATTAGAAATAAACTACACTTACTGCCCTGTGGTATGTTAATGTTGTAATGTTGTTAGACATTTGTGTCAAGTCTGGTCAGAATTAGTGTATGGATTCTTCAGTTATGGACAAGAACATGTTAATTGAGGTCACAGTGACCTTGGGCCACCAAAATCTTACTAGTTCATTGTTGAGTCCAAGAGGACATTTGTGCCAAATTTGAGGAAATTCCCTGAAGATGTTCTTGAGAAATCATGCTCACAAGATAAGCTGGACCAGGTCACAGTGACCTTTGACAACCAAACTCTAATCAGTTCATCACTGACTCAACGTGGATGTTTGTGTCAAATTTGGGGAAATTTCCTCAAGGCCTTCTTGAGATATTGTGTTCACACAGACTGAGATGTAAGCAAGGTCACAGTAAACCTGACCTTTGACCCTCAAAATCTATCCGTTCATTGATGCGTCCAAGCAGACGTTTGTGTTTCATTTGAAAAAAAAAAAGTTCCTCAAGGTCTTCTTAAGATATCATACTTCCGAGAATTAAATGAACACAATGACCTTGACCTTTGAGCACCAAAATCTAGTCAGTTCATCATTAAGTCCAAGCCAATGTTTGTGCCAAATCTGAGAAAAGTACCTCAGGTAGTTCTTGAGAAATTACTTTCACGAGATGAGATGGACCAGGTCACAGTGATCCTGACCTTTGACTACCAAACTCTTCATTGCTGAGTTTAAGTGGACGTTTTTGCTAAATTTGAGGAATTTCCCTCAAGGCCCTGTTAATCTGTGTTAATCTATCTCAAATCTATGAGTTCATCGATGAGTTTGTGTTAAATTTAACAAAATATTCCCTCAAGGTCTTCTTGAGATATTGCATTCACAAGAATGAGATGTAAGCAAGGTCTCACTGACCCGTACCTTTGAGCACCAAAATCTAGTCAGTTTATCGTCGAGTCCAAGTCGATGTTTGTGCCAAATTTGACATATTGTGTTCATGAGAATGAGACCGACAGACAACCCCAAAACATAACGCCTGTGGCCATGGCTGTTGTTGTTTTTTTTTTAGTTAAGGTTATTTCAGTCATTTTCCAGCTTATAAACCTCAAATACACAAAAGATAAACAAAAAACAAAAACAGGACCCAAAGGTGTCGGCTATAGACTGAGCTTATTAAACCTACCCTTTAAACATTTATTATTTTTGTTTAAATTATACAGAGCAATTTAAGAAGGTGACAAAAACTAAATATATTTACATCATATCGGCCTGTTGTCTGCCCAAATATCCCAAACAACACATCTCATGTCCACGCTGGTGTTCATACTACAGTTTTATATTTGTTAATCATCTTGTGTTTACATCAGTTTTTAAATCTGCTGTGTGTATCACACACTTTCATTTCTGTTTCTGAACTGTCCCACAGTTTGCCTCCACAAACTGAAACACATCTTTGTTCTACACAAATGTTCTGCTCTTTGTTTTTGTGATCACACAGTTTCCTCGCAGCTCATTCTGACGTCCTCTGATTTAAAAAGAACCTCTGGATTCAGTCTGCTGACACACTGCTCTTTGCTTTGTACGCCAGTGAAGATATTTCAGAATCTACAAGGTCACTAAATTTGTTAGTTTATGGATCATTTATTTGTCTGTTTATGATTCTGATCACTTAGATTTGTGATGTTCTCCCCCCAAACCTCCACACAGTGAGTCATGTGTGGAGGTATGAAAGAATGATAAAAGATACGGAATTCATCTAAGTTGAGAGTGTCTTTTGTTCCAGCATAGTGTGTGATCTATGACAACTCCCAAAAAATGTTTTTCTTTCTATTTTAATATCATTTGTCATAATTTGTGCTTGATAATTATATTTTCCACGTGGAAGCATAAAAACTGTGTTGAAGTCATGAGCCTCCTGATTCCTTTCTTCAACACAAACATTTGTCAAATATTCTTTTGACATGCCGCCCAGCTCGACCCCACGACTCCTTCTGCCTCTTCAGGAAGAAGACATAGTAAATATCAGAGTAATAATATAACTAATGACACACTGAGCTGTACAGTTAATCAGATGTTTGCTAGACACATGTTTGACAATAACTCTTTCTAATCAGGCTGAACTTTTCCTCGCTGAGTTTTCTCGTCAGTCGCTGTGAAAGAAAAAGGAAATGAGGGTTCAGAGGGTGAAAACAGACACCCACTTGTTCCAGCCAAAGCTCTCAGGCCCCTGGCCCCACGCTCTGCCTCAGATGTCTCTCCACTTTAATTACCCATGTGTTCCCCTCCAGCCTCAGTGGCGCATAAATATTTAAGGATGCTGATATTGAGGGATATTAAGGAAGTGAAGTGGGGAACAAAATATGGAACATGGAAAAGTTGTGGAGATCGTTAAGGTGGGTACTTTTACATTTCTGGATGGTCAGGAAGTTTCTCAGGTGAGTTTAGAGAAGAGATGGAAATTAAAATGCTTCAATGACAGAAGTCTAATAAAAAAAATTAAAACTGCTAAAAATTCAGTTATTAAAAAAATGATCTCACAGTTACTCATAAAAACTTTTAAACAGGGCGGCAACTATTGATTCACCATGATTTTCTCACCTAGTCGATGATTAATTTGGTCTAAAAAATCATAATTTCCTGAGGCCAGACAAACTGTTCATGTCTGAACACGAGTTAAAACCCCCAAAGTACAAAGCAGGAAGTCCTCACACTCACAGTAAAGAGCTAAACCTGAGGTACATGTGGCATCTTTGCTCGAAATATTATCTTATTTGCAGGTCGTTTTTTTTTGTCTACAACTAAAGGATTCATCAACTGCTCGTTTGAGCTTTTAAGGAGAGAATAAGAAAGACGAACAAAGAGTTATGAAGGTTAAAATGATGAAATATTCCATATCTTAAAAGATGTTTTTCAGGCAGCTCTGCAGCTCAGACGTGTTTGTGGGACTGAGAACAAAGATGGCTGCAGTTTGCAAAACACCACAGTTACTGTGACTGACAGGTCTGAAACACAAAACTGTAAAAATAAAACACATTTCTGTGCTTTATGGAGATTTTATAGTGAAAAATTAATCAATAATCCCTGTTTGAGGATCTGATGTGTTAATGTGTGAGTTAAAGAGCAAAACAAACTGAAGAGGCCGAGTCGAGTGTGAAGAAACACTTCACATACAGGAGCAGACAGAAAGCAGCGCAGTGAAAAGAGAGACCTTGCTTTGAATAGTCCTCTCTCATCATGATGTGTCATGAACATCTGTTCTACAAACTGCCCGTCTGTTCACTTCCTGTTTACTTAACAGAAGAGTAAGGTGGTAGGAGACGCCCTCCTTAAGAGCAAAGTCAACTTACTGTAAATTTAAAAAATATTTGGACATGAGTTCAGTGTGTGCAGGATAATGGTTCATAAACCAGCACACTGTTGGGAGGAATAAACTGGTGGAGTAGCCCAGTTTGTTGTGCTAGCACAAAAATGAAACTCTTGTAAAGAGACATCAGGTCCCATTACTAGGGCAAACAGCCCCGAGCTATCGTCCCCCATCTTACCCTGATGTTAGCTTCACCTCCCGCCTCATGATCACAGCATGTGTTCAGCCTGCAGTTAGCTAGCTTGTGTCATATTGTTCACAGAACTTACTGTTTTTTTTTTAAATTATTCTGATAGCGATGTTAGCCAGTCAGTTAGCCTAGCGTGCTACTACAATAAAGAAAAGCTTTTCGGTCACTAAAACAGGGATTTTTAATAAATGTCTTCTAGGGTGCAGATTTGTCAAAACTCGTGTTACTGTTCATCTGTGTGAACGTGTAAAACACAGCATTTAAAAATGATGATGTGATGTCACTTTGCACACGTTCATTATTGCTTTCTATAACGAGCACCAGACACATTAATCAGTATTCAATAACAGCAGACTATTGATTTGATTTGTTGGCACTGTTTGGTCTAATGAGTGTTTTACACTTAAACTTAGTGTTGCTGCACTACTTCATGGATGACCTCATCCACCTCAGCACCCACCAACAACAACAGTTTTGGATCAGGACAGGTCCGACCATCAGATGGAGGGACTGTTCCCACGGTGGGGTCGTTATCAGTGACGATCGGAGGGAAAACTTCAGCTCATTTAGGGCATCACTCGTATCTTTGAGTAAACTCTTCCGTCCCTTGAATGAACAGGAATTAACGTGACAAGATCTCCAGGAAGTCTCTGTGTGATGAGGTGAATACAGACTACATAGAATTAATAACATTGTCGAGTGCTTGGGGTCGTTGTACGTTCTAGGGTTTACAGAGATATTTTGTAAAACAAAGGTTGTGTGGACAGAATTATTTTCTAAAACGGACGGGAAAAATATCACTTTTAAAAAACATCTGAACACCTGAAGACGGGCCTGAAAAGGGCATTGTAGGTGTTGTAGGTATGTTAGTTGTGTACTTGAGTAAAATTTGAGGTTTTTGTACTTTACTGGAGAGTTCTCACGTCCTGTCACTTTATTCTTTTTACTCCACGACATCCATCATCTGTAACCACACAGGGTCGCTGGGGGAGAAGGGCTGGATCTGAATCCTGGCTGACACCGGGCGAGAGACAGTGCACACCCTGGACAGGTCGCCAGACAATAACAGCAACCGTTCACACTCACATTCATGCCTACGGGTAACTTAAAGTCAAAAATGAATCTGCATGTCTTTGGACTGTGGGAGGAAGCCAGAAAAAAACCCACGCTGACACGGGGAGAACATTCATGCTGTGAGATGACAGCACTAACCACTGCATCACAGTGCTGACCTCCTCTGCTGCCTGTCAGACAGGCATAGACCTGTTTTTATTCCACTGATTGTGTTGAACAGATATAGTTACAGATTACTCTACAGTCTCCTGATACATGAAATCACACAAAAAGCAGAGTGAGTGGCTCCTCATCAAATTCCACCAAAGTTTTCACCATGGTTTTATTTATGGTTCTGACTGCATGTAATGGAGTATTTCTACATCGTTTATTGCTACTTTAACTTCAGTAAATGATCTGAGTACTCCCTCCACAAAATCTATGATTGACTGTGTTTTTGTTTCTGTAAGGGAAACCTGATCTGAGTTCAAGATTTCAGATTAATGAATGAATGATGTGTGACAGTGTGACGCAGGACCACTGAACAGAACCTTCTCTGCAGAAACAGGAGCCTTCGATGTGCGAGCAGGAGATCTCATTGTGGCAGGAGCAGGAGGAGGTGCAGTTGATCCCGTAGAGGCCTGCAGGACAGCTGATGGAGCAGTCGTCACCCTGGACACAGTGGACACACACAGAGACACTGAGGACAGTGGAGAGGCTCACACACCACAGTACGACTGTGGACAACACACACATCACATTTTTTATTGTACCTCAGTTTACCTGCTCTGACTTATTCTGTAAACCACCTCTTGACATGACTTTCTGTTCACCAATCCGACCAAAGGATTAATATCTTAAGAAAAATCAAAATTTTCTTGACATTTTTTTTTTTATTTTAAAGTGATGAGAAATTTACTTTTGCAGTCATTTCTAGACCTTTTCTTACTATTAATTAAGTAACTGGACAAATGGGGGGGTGAAGAAAATATAACACACTTTACACAATTATTACACCCTATATAGTGGACTCAAAGTATCCCACAATGCAAAATGAAAAGAAGTGTACAGGCCACATATCCCATCATGCACTGCACCAAAGAAACAAACTTGATGTCATTTATTAAATTGTATATTGTAAATTTATAAATTGGGAGCGAAGTCTGAATGTAGCGTTGGGTTATCCAGAGCAGCGCACTCTCAGAGTGGCAGAGCGCACTCTGGACACTCTGTCTGTGGAGACGGAGCAGCAGAGCGCCGAGCGGAGTGAATGATGTGTGATTAACTTAACCGTTGGTTCATTCATGTAGAAATATAACGCTGCGTTTCTTCCACCAACAGGGCTCTCATTTTAGTGTAGAGCGTCAGACTGAATTTACCAACGCACCATGTCAGGTCACTCACTCTCCGGGACCGCCAGTGTTACTTGAATAAGTAAACACTGACCAACGGGACCAGACTGGCCGACCCGTATGCTCTCACTCAGTGGATGGATGATGTCACAGGAAGCCAATCTTACAAAGGAGGACCACACTTGTTTGTTTTGCTATGGAAGCTAACGTTAGCTAATGTGCTAAAAAGTTAGCGTTGCAGAGAAATCCAATCTTCCTCTTAATCCCTCCCCAGTTTCTGATGAGGTGGACATGATAACCCTTAATACACATAACCTTATTCATCCCTACAACAGGAAATACTTTTTCCCTAACCTGATATGAAGTGTGCGCTGCACATGTGAGCATTTTTGATGATGGCCTCCGTCCAGTCCTTTGGTCTTATCACATTTAACCATAGTTGTCTTTGTTTTTGTTGACGGGCAGTGGCGGCTGGTTTTGAGCCATGACTCCTTCTATTCTGGCTCCCAATAACACAACAAGACAAACACATTTTAACACTCCTATGGAGCCTACAGCCCTGTGGGGGAGAGGCAGCTGCTCCTCCAGCTGATAAACTGAGGTCACTGTGAGGTATGAAACCTAAAAATGTGACATATTTGTGGTTTGCAGAAACAGCAGCAACATTTTCTCCTGATGACGGTGCTGACAATCCCGCAGCACACCGGCTCATATTTTATAGATATGAAAATGACTCTACACCTGTCAGTCTGCTAAATAAATAAATGTAAAGTGTTGAAGATGTTTTCTTTATTTAAATGTGTTTTCTTTGGCTGCAGTGTGTCGAGGTTTCTCCGACACTAAAGCTCCAGCCTTCCTTCACTGTCTGTGCTTCTTGTATTCTTCATGAGCTGGCCTGTGACTGCGCGCACAGCGTTTGGAGTTTCAGGAATGTCTTTGACTGACAGCTAGTTTTCACCATCACCCCTCCTGCAGCTCAGCTCCAGTGAAACAGCTCCTGCTCGAGTTCATATTTAAATTCATTATAAGCCCACGACTGCATTAAATTTGAGGGCAGAGATGCAGCAAACAAGCCCATGTATAATGGAGGAGAGGGACGATCATCACTGATGGCGTCCCCGCAGAGAGACATGATGTCTACGCTTGTCCAATCAACAGAGGACATGGTCAGACCTGCTAAAAAGACAGCTCAGCATTAGCGGGACGTCTAACCTTCCTCTGCGCTGTAAGCGTGCTGTGAAACAAGCCGCACACACGCTGAACCTCCTGCACGCCGTCCCATTGATCAGGACCTTCAACATATAAACTGTGCTAATTAAAGCTGCCTGCTTCCAACCTGGCGCCTGTAAATTGCTATTAATCTAATATTCACAAAGCCAGCCAAATGTGCAGAGACAGGAGAGAGCAGCCTTATTAAAAAGTTGGTGAATTAAGGACTTAAAAAAAAATCTTTGTTAATAAATAACGTGTGTGGGTCCAACAAGGAAAATCATCAGACTTTCCCGAGAGAGGCCGAGTTTAAACAACTGACCTCTGGAATAATAAATACATGGGGATCAATTCTGATATTAATCATCCAGTTTTCAATTCAGAGAGGTCGTGTGGCAATTTATCAGCCCGTTGTTGTTATTTCTCTTTCCTCAATGACATCATCAGAGCCAGGAAATAAATAAAGTGGGTGCCTTTTCTTCTTAAAACCTGGAGTCAAAGTGGATGCATAGATTTATCGTCTGAACATGGGTGTCAGCTGATGTTCGCCTTATTGACGTCATCGACCTGACATCAAATCAGATGACATTTCTCTGACGGCATTGGTCCATCTGCTGCGTCAGATCAGTTTTTCGCAGGTTAAAAAGCAGAGCTCCACACTGTCGTGCCCTGTCCTCCCAGGGAACATTAGAAAACATGTTTGGTTCAAACAGAGATCTTGTCTGGGACGCAGTACACTCACCATCGACACCTCAGGGGACTCACTCTTAAGGGCCCATTCTCCGTCCAACACATTGCTGGATAGTCTGCTCACTCTATGGCCCCCCCACCTCACAGGCCCCAGGGCAACCACACTGTCTGCACTGTCTATATTTACGCCCCTGTATACAGTCAGTGGTTAAATGCAGCAGCAGAGGAGCGAGTTAACATCGACCGTTAGCTGTTAGCAGCTGCAAACTAACAGCTAACAGAGGCTGTAGTGAGTTACAGTACAGTGTTCAACCTCTATTCAGTAAAATGAGTAAAGGAGCATCAGTGAAGAATTTCATCCCTATTAACTGAATCACTTCGATCACATTAATGACCTGATCCTCCATGGACTGGAGGAGCATGTTATCAGGTCAGTGGGCCGTCAGGGTCATAACCCTCTCATAAACTACACACATCAAGCTTCCAGGTGTGAGTGTGTTACTTAAAGCATACCAAGTGTGCAGCACCCATCAGGTCGACATCAAGCCCCAGTAACAGGGCTGAGCCCAGATAAATAAATAAATAAATAAATACAGAGTCCCAAAGATATGGCTATAGCTGTGTTTCCATGCTGTTCATGTGCGCAGGTTTCTGCTGAGCGTGACGTATTTTCAGTCTCTTCAGTCTCTCTTTATCCGAGGTCACTGGGACACGCTCGGTTAATGAGGACATCCTGTCAAATACGTGGCTCAGCCGAGTTCAGAGGTTTCGATGGTTTGGTTCCTTGGTTTAACTTTATTAACACAAATTAGTCATGATCAAGAAAGTAGAATTGGGGTCGACCTGATCAGTCAGAATGAGCCTTAAAGGACTGAAAACAGAGGAGTTATTGTTGGTTGAACAAACATTTTATAACTACAGCTGAAACTTGAAAACATGTTGTTAATGGAAGTTTGTGTAAAAAGAAAATAACTCAATCAAAGGAGAGATTCTGCGTCCAGTTGCAGATTTTTTTTCAGTATCGTAAATGAGCAAATATACACGGTATGATAACTGTCAACTTTATATCACAGTGTACCTTAAAACTGGTGTATTGCTGCAGCTCTACCACTATCACTATCACTCTCACTCTCACTCTTACATTAAGACATAAAATGCCCTCAAAATAATCTAAAAACAGACGAGCAACAAAAACAAGTAGGACTGACTACACTTAATTACAGCTGCAATCAGACGAGAGTGAAGAACAAAAGCACGCTCAGGGACTGACGGAGTAACATGGTTAATAAATCACTTTAATCAAGTCATCTTGAGGCACGTCGGAGAGTTGAGATTTTTATTATTTCAAATGTTTTTTGTCTTGTGAAGTTTTTGAGGAAGAACAGAGTTCACATCACTGATAAAAGATATGATGTTAAAAATGTATGTTGACAGTATCAAACAGTTTCCTCTCAGCAGGTTCAACTGCAGTTTTTGGATGTAAGTAGTTTTCAGGGTGAATCCAACATGTCATAAACTTTACATACGTGTATCCTCGTCACATCTGCTGATGAACAAGCTGGATGTTTGTTTAGTGTATACTTTCACTTTCACCTGGAGTTCACATCCCGTCACAGATCTGCAATTCATGTTTTAATTTTTTTTTTTTTATTTTAACCACGCTTTCCCTGAAACTACACTGTTTTGGTTGTCTAACTTCAGTGTGTGCATGTGTAGATCTGGTTGTAAATTAGAAATATTGCGGGCTTCTCCTAAAAGGAACGATTTATTGTTCAGTGGTTTGAAGCCCTCTGATGGCCGACAGCTTCCTAAACAGCAGCTCTGTTTGCTTCATCAGCCTGTTTTCATTCCCAGATCGTCAAACACTAACTCTGTGTCACGCCCCTCAGCGTGTAAAGTCGACGCCAAAGGCACGCCTCAGCATCTTTATGAGACGCACTGGGCTTTCAGCAAACTCCAACATAAACCCATTTGTGGCAACTCTTGACACTGAGAGCAACTGACGTGGTAAAAACACTGTGAAAGTCTGCGCATGGTGGGAGGGAGGAAAAGTACACGGGTCAAACAAACTTCAGACTTTCACCCAGGAGACCACATTTTGTGTCCCATATGAAACCAAAAGTCAGTGTTGTATTAACATAATCATTCCCACACACATTCACACACTGGTGGCCGAGGCTAACGTACAAGGTGCCACCTGCTACTCAGTAACCATTCACACACCAGTGGAGCAGCCATTGGAGCAATTTGGGGTTCAGTATCTTGCCGAGGATACTGGGACATGCGGATCTACTGATTATTGGACGACCACAGCTGCAGGTAGAAAATAACGGTGCCCCGATGGCAACATAGAACATTTATCTGCAAGAACAATACAAACAAATAAAAATATTTGAAGAAACTAACTTCCTTGTCAGAATC